ACATTAACACAACAGGGTGCAAAACAAGTGGACGCCATCAGCGTGGAAGACAAAACATGAGATCACCATGGTTCTCGTCAGTTCCGCTTCATAAAACTTACTCCCCCCGCAAGTCATCTACCAAGGTACAACAAACAAGTGCCAGGCCAATCACAACTTTCCAGATGAGTGGCACGTGACTCATTCAGCCAATCATTGGAGTACTGAGGATACCATGCTTACCTACGTAGATAATGTGTTGGTACCATACATGAAAAAAAAAGGAAAAACAACTTGGACTCATTGTTGATTTTTTATGCCTTTGCAGCCAATATGTGTGAATCTTTCCTTGATCACTTGAAGAAGAAACATTTCGAAGTGCAATTTGTGCCCGCAGGGTGTACAGAAGAGCTTGAACCTTGTCAGTCAATGGCGATTTCAAGTTGGCCATAAAGGACCAGTTTATCAACTGGTACACTGACAAAGTGTCCAAGAATTTGGTGGACTCAAAGAAGGACACATGTATTGATTTACGCATTAGCATAATGAAGCCTCTTTATGCCAGATGGATGGAAGCCTCGATTTCAAAGGTGAGCAAAGATCGCGAAAAGATCATGCGTGGTTGGAGAATGTCCGGTCTGGCTGATGTGCTTGAGTGACTTTAAACAATGACTAGTGATTGTAACCAGTGATAATTACATGTGACTTGAGAAACCTGTAATGAGGAATTGACCTGTATTGGAGTAATGTGTAGAGTCAACACCTCCGTATTTTGCCGATGAATAAGCTCAATGGATATCAATTATTGTCATGGAAATTAGTGCTCATTTGTCAATCAATTATATGAGAGATGTCTAAATTGTTGTTATATTCTGTATTGTTATGATGAATGCTAACCTGAAGACAATAAAGATGACAAGAGATTTACATTTTCTGTCTTTTATTACGTTCTCAAAAGTAGACATGGTCAGACTGAAATGCATCATTATAATAATGCAAGAAGAGTACAGATGCGTTTTTCGCATTAATAAAATGCTTGCATTAATTTCATGATTTACAGTACATGAAACAGTAAGAATGATTGCCGCTTAGGCTTAGTCCTTGTGTAGATGCCGTACAAGTGACAACTGTGCGTCTCTAATTACAGTCTCTGGTGTACGCACATACCGATTGAAACAATCAGACTGCCATCTACCGAGTGTCTTTCTCAGGTGATCCTCCATGCGTACACTAGCCACAGACGTGGCTGCACCAATACGGAATGAATGTCCTGAATATTTCTTGAAATCAAGTCCTGCATGTCTCATAGTTTGGGCAAGCCATTGGAGGAACACAGTACGTGTAATCGCCTTCCCCACACAGTCTACCTAACACTCCTTCTCTCAGTTTAAACACAATCTTTTCTGACACATCATAATTGATAGGCAGGCGTGTAGATATACTGGGTTTCTGCAGTCTTTTATATCCATGTAGAAGAGTCTGCAGCTGGTTTAGAGCACTGCAGGACACTAGATCAAACACTGTGTGGATACCTGCTTTCAGATAGGTGAATTGAATGCCCACAAGGTAAGACTTCAAGTGCCTATACTGAAGTTTGGCTTAAAAAACCCAGTAAGCCACATATTGTTGTAGCAATTCAGAGTTCACTGGTGGGAGTTTTTCGAAGGCTGCGTCAGAGTTGTGTACAAGCTGTATCGAAGGAGGAATGAGACGTAGGACTGGAAACCTGTTGCATAAGTAGTTCTGGTTCTTGCTCTGATTGCTGCATCCCATAGGGTGTTCAGATGTCTTGCCAGACCCATGTCAGTTGTGACGGGGGTGGGCATGGCATCGCTTGAAGATCTGCTTTGGGTGATAGGGTCTGGAACCGAGCGATGTAGTCGACATAGAGAGTCAGCAATTTGATTACAGACACCAGGCATGTGTTTTGCATGTACGACAAAATTGTGAAAGGCAGCTAAAGAAGTTAACCTGCGCATATAAGGCATAATGTCCTTGCATTTTGATCTACCCTTTGTGATAATGTATACAGTAGATTCATTGTCACAATAGAACACAATCTTATTAGTTGACCACTTTTCGCCCCACATCACTGCTGATACCACAATGGGATAGAGTTCCAGAAGAGCCATGGATCAACTATCACTACAACACAGAGGTTGCATGTTGGCTGGCCATGGCGCAGAGAACCATGGACCATTGAAATAGCCTCCGAATCCTAATGTAGAGGCATCACTATACAGTCTCACGTCTGGAAATGGTGTCGATTACGATTCATGGAAGAATGACACACCGTTCCACTTGCGAAGAAACGTGTGCCACATGTTCATATCTGCACGACATTTTGCAGAGATGGTCAATCTGTGATGCAGTTCTTTCACAGATCAATGAGATATGACATGAATGACCACCTGGGAACCACAACTTTTTTCTATCAGAGATAGAAATTTGAAGAAATAGTACTGTTTAGCCCATTTAGATGTAAACAGTGGCCAGTAATCAGGATGAATTGCTACCTGCATAAATGTGTCCTTGATACCTTGCACATTTGTGCGCCTTTGGCAATATTGTTCAATTGTTGTATAGCACCATTTACTGTCACATATATTAAAGAGCACATGTCGTTGTCTATCATGTCATTGATGCTTATGATTTCACAGTGGTCATGAGGTGCTGACAAATCAAGGATCAACCTTTTCTTAAGGCTACATTTACCTTCGGCTAGCCCCTGCGGTCTTACTTGAAACAATTCAAAAGGTGAATGTGTAAATGGTCCATCGATATAGCCCCTATTCAGTTCTTTTTGCACTAAGGCATTAACAGTTTCAGGGTCTTTTTGGGCACTCAGGTTGTTTTACACACCCAAGTTTCATCTGGCACTGATGACATGAGGGGATGAAAGTCATGTTCAAATCCATTGATCACATAATCCACAAAGTCTGTGTCAGGATGGGAAGTTTTCTCGAATCTGGTCTATGTTGAGCGGCGTCATGGTCAATGTTTCTCATATGACTGCTTCTGTATGTTTGGTCTTCTGGCAATCGAGCTTACTGTGACCATTGCGAAAGCAAGAAGCACAAATATGAAGAAAGTTGCACTAAGATCTCAAACATCCGTCATGATTGAAGTTATTGCAAACTTCTTCCCCTTGATGCTGTAAACTCTGACACCCATATGAATCAGTCGTACTCGATGAAGGGGTGTAGGTCTTCCTCGCAGCTGCCAATCAAGACAAGACACTCTCTTGCACTAGCACTGACGGAAATGTTGCCATGTTGTGGATGATGCTGGCACATCTGACACTAGACCTTCAGCGTAGGCCAGATGTACAGGTCGTGTATATCCTGGTATTGGGAATCCCCCAGTCGAGATGTATCCCCCCTCTCAGCTTGTGCCGCGACATCAGCAGCAAAGCGTTGGTGGTATTCATATTGCATGAATCCACCATACAGGTTATGGAGTTCTCCAACAGTGTGTTCATGTCGGTCCAGTTTGGTTCTTCTGTTTGGCCACGCTTCACAAAAAATGTCTTTATATATTTTGAAAGCTCTAGTAAATTCAAAAAAGTTCAAATTCCTGCTGAGTCGGGGATATGTCTTCACATTTCTACACCATCCTGACTCCTCTGACACTTTATAATCCCCAGCTTCTTGTGTTGGTAGCAGCAGTGATGTATTTTCATTCTTGTGTTTTCGTCAACAAAATTAACATAAGGAATGGTATCTGATGATACAAAGTTCACTGAAGAGCATGATGTTATTATCATTTGACCTACCCCTTGAATTTGATTGATGTGAGAAGGAAGAAATTAAATCCTTCATCTCCCTCATCACGTCAATCATGTCAGCTGAGGAAGTCGGTGGTGTTGCCTTATATCGGATGTCTCCTCTGTGTTCCCGGAAATTCCAGTATGCGAGGGTGGTTGCTGAGTAGATGGAATGGCCGCTGCCAGACTTGAGGTGCTGTTTAGAGGGAAGGTTACTGGAACATCCTCTTCATCCCTGTTGATCGGATTTGCCTCAAAGTTCTCTTTATAAAGTTGCAAAACTGTCTACCTCCGCCATGCCGAAGGCACACTGACCCCAATAGCTTGTAGTCTCTGATGTAAAACAGCTGTGGTCACGTATGGAGCCTTCCTAGTAGTGCGTGTTGTCGTCCAACATGGCGGTCCGTGTAACTCGCTTCGTTAGTTGAAGGCAAACTTGAGCTTGCAGCTGTTCTTCCCCGCCTTGCAGTGCGTCTAGTGGCCATGCCAGTGATTCTTGGCAGCTTCCCATCAACAGTGAGGTAGGGTAGTGACAGTGCCAATCACTTAAGTGACGGAGAAAGGTATATATGGATAATGTGCATGCTCTCGCTGCTTGAGAATAATGAGTGAGGCCAGGTGATATGTAAGATGAAGGAGAGATTATAATAAAATTGAATGATTAAAAGAGGGTGCCGGACATAGTAAAATATAAGATAAATAATACATATGAGTGAGAAAACATTTTGTTTGCACAAAACAAAAATATAAATTATTATTGTAGTCGTCCCTCATAGCCCTTGCATCTAACTGGGAGTAGACCCTGTCCAGCTGTGGCAGATGAGCAGGAATAATCCAGTCATGTACGACATAGGTAATCTGTTGGTAATCTTAGGTATAACTAAGGGGGATAACTGCGTACTCCATGGGCATACCACAAAGGATAGCTATGACTTAGTTAAAATTTCATTTCCATTTCTGTATGTCTCAGAAAATAGGCAACTATAATCCAGAGGGAATGTTTACGATATAATTGGGATGTTTTAACAAATTTATTCAAGTTAAATCTGTTGATCAGAAACAAGTTTCAGGAAATAAGGCAATCAAGTGTTAGAGGGATGTATTCATAAGAATTATGACTATCTTAATAAAATGGTTCTGCAACTGGAGCTTGAAGTTTTGGAAAAGAAAAATCAGAATTCAGTAATTGACAACAACAAAACATTTCTGTGAAGTAGAATTTTTTTCAGGTTAAAATGTAATCATTGTAACTTACCTTTGACTTTGAGAAGGCTTGCATATTTGCCGAAGTATGAACCAACTGCTGACTGCTGACAAGGGAACTCTGCTCTGCCCTCTCCATGCGCGCGACTAGTTCTGATACCCTTGCCTGGGCCTCCACAGTCTTATCATGTGCAGTTTGATATTTCTGCTGCAGCTTCTCCACTTCCACTTTAAGATGGTTCCTCTCTTGTTCAATCTGCTCTTTCATCTAGTATAAAAAAATAGTACAGTTATGACTATTAGTAACGCCATATCTTTACTTGTGCTGCCTTATTTAACCGTTGAAAAAATTCAAAACTTTACTATAACTCATGTTATTGGCTCATGGCCTTTCTCTCTATTAACATAAGAAAGGGTACCAACCAATTGCAAACTAAATGTACACATGAATTATTAGTCATTATTACCTATGAGTGAGTGAGTGAGTTATTATTTAACGTCACATCGGCAATATTTCAGCCATATCGTGACGATATTACCTATGAGGGCGAACATATCGGGGTTCATATTTTTCATACAATGCCCTAGGGCAAAATATCACTTTGTCATGGTAACGTGACATCATGGACAAGGCTATTACGTCACGTTTCTTCTGTGATGTTGCGTTCTACATGCAGCGACAGCGGGTGGTCAGATTGTGTTTGAAAGTAGATTTGGGTTTATTTTCTTCAATTTGACGACTTCGGTAATAAACAGAATATTATATTCGTGCCCATATCATACTATGTTTATGACACTTGTGCCTAAATATCGGTAAATCCCTCGCTCTCACTCAGGAAATACCAACATTTAGGCACTCGTGTCGTAAACATAGTATGACATGGGCACGAATATAATATCCTCTATTTATTATCCATATGGTGAAACATGTCTGGGTGGTTGAAGGGGGGTTAGCAATTCACTTATATAATTAGATATTCTAGTGCCATGCCATTTAGACTCTTGTATGTGATACAGAGTACTTTAAACAACTGTACCGGGTTGTTAGGAAGCCGTGGCCGTAGGTAGATTCCAATGGAATGGGTGAATAGCTGAATTAGTTGACGAAGTAATAGGCTCAGACGACAAAAATTTATAGCCTTTTGTACCATGCCAAGTGGAACAGATTGTCGAATGGAGACGAGATCGACAACTCCCTGACTCAGTGTTTGTCGTAGGCATAATTTTTTTTGGAGTCATAATGACTCTCTAGTGTCATATGAGAAGGAGTCATGGACATGTTTTGTGAGTCAACGTCAGTTTGGAACTTTCATCAAAACATCAAATGTTGATTGTTTAATAACGTCAAACAAAACAAGGTAAGAGAGCACCGAGCAGTAAAAAAAACAGTCATCGCCATAGAAACCAAGTTTAGATTATCTGAACTAAGAGCCCAGTAGCAATTTGTCAACAATGATGCAAGCTTCTAAATTCACTGCCTATTTGAGAGAATTGTGTATCAAATACGCAGGTTATCTGCCTCATGACAAACACTGCTGACTCCCTTATATCCATCCCCCTGAAGGTAGATATCTACCGAGAGTTGAGAAGTGAGAAATTCAAATGCCGTTTCACAAGTGATGAATGCGAAAGAGATGTCTTGGGAGGACCTTCTGCTTGACATAAAAGGCGACTAATAGGATCAGGTGGTCAGGCTCGCTGACTTGGTTAACACAATAAGTCATCGTATCCCAATTGGGTAGATCGATGCTCATGTTGCTGAACACTTGATTGTCTGGTCTAGACTCGATTAATTACAGACCGCCACCATAAAGATGGAATATTGCCGAGTGAAGAGGAAAATTTAACTAGCTCACTAGCTACTCGACTACCCATGTATAGACTAAAGAGCATCTCAGCTGCCAACAGGTATACTCTAAACTATGGCTCTTCCGGCGTCATATGAGTTACTACGGCTGACGATCCCGTGGGTGGCATCCAACCACGGTGAATGCCGTTGGGCTTTTGCGGCTCCGACCCCACCATGAGGAAATAAACGATTGCCGGCCAAGTGGGCTTACTGATAGTAGGGATAGCGGTTGAACTCCCGGGACTGACGGCAGACCCCGTGCGGCTTGTGCCATGGGCATAAGCTGCCGTCGGTTGACCTCGTCGACATAGTCCGTGTCAACCTGATCCGAGACATATCACGTTACGCCATGCCAGCGATCAGCCGGACTACCTGTGGCTACGGGCTGACTGCCGTTCCAGTTGACTGGGACGATCCCATACGTGTGGGCCGCAAGCAAGCAAGCGGTCCATGGGATCAGCCCCGTTATGCTCGTGCGGCTCCAATCCGCCTTCGTGGGAAAGGATGGCCGGCCGAGAGGGCTTTTTTATTGGGTTGTAACCGTTGCCGGTTGAAACTACATTAAATAAAATTACATAAATGATTGCAAAAAGTTTTTTTTTGTTTAACATCTATATGTGAAAAAGATTGAACTCTTGTAGTGGTTATAATCAAAATAATGATGTAAAAAAGTCTTAATTCAAATCTCATAGATAATCTTGTTCACCCATAGAAGTTTCACTTCGTGTATGAGCACTGAACTGGCAACATGCGACTTGATATCTCTGCAGAAAAATTAATTTCAAATTTATACCAGTATATCATAGTGGAGAAACAAAAGGGGAAACCGCTCGTCAGCTATGACAGGGTTTTCTATAGAATGTGTAAAGCCCTTAATTTGACATATAGTCAGGTTTACAAAGTTGTAAACAAATCAGTTAGCTCAGGGGTCATGTCAAAATCAAAACCAGGTAGGAAATACAAACTGGATAGCTTTGATAAGGGTGTCATACGCCATGCAGTTTATAAACTGTATGAACGCAAAATCACACTGACGTGTGCTAAAATACAAGATGAGATCTACGATACAATAAATGTCTCGAAAACAACACTTATTGTAGCTCTGGTAGAAATCGGGTTCAGGTACACCAAAATGGGAGATGACAGAACTGTGTTTAGAGAAAAGTACTCAATCCTGTCCATGCGATCAGCTTATCTCAGAACAGTTGAAGAATATCGCAATTTGCAGTTTCAAATTATATGCCTTGATGAAACCTGGTGTAAGAAAATCACTCAGCCAATCAGATGTGGCTTCCTTAAGATTGTTCTGAGGCACCAGTGTTACCATCAGGAAAAAGGTAGACGCCTGATCACATACATCTTGCATGCTGGTTACCGTAGCTTTGTTTTTGAGGCCAAGAAATCTGATGGTGATTACCACAGCGAAATGAATGGGCAGGTATTTTTGGATTGGTTCGAACATCAGCTTTTACCACAGCTGGACGAACCAAGCGTTATCATTTTGGATAATGCCAGTTACCATAACCTGCATGTCCCTGGTACCATCACACCCACCATGAGCAATCTCAAGGCTCAGTTGCAGGATTTTCTCACTTCCTGTAACGTGCCTTACAGGCAATCAGAAACAAAGCCCCAGCTCATGGAAAAAATCTGGCAGAACAAAAAGCCAATCCAGCACTGATGAACTAGCTGCAAAACAAGGCCACATAGTTCTGCATACACCAGTATGGCACTGTGAGCTCAATCCCATCGAGCTGATCTGGGGTAACCGTAAAACATTTATTGCTCGCAGTAATACCACATTCAGGCTTTAAGACGTTAAAGCGCTTGTGCTTGTGATTATCACAAGGTCAATTTCACAGTCATAAGAAAGGCACCCCTACACCATCAACAAACCCCAACCAAATGGAACTTGCTCCAAGATATTCTGTTGTGCACATTCAGTGTTTCTGCAATGCCAAACACGAGCTAGGCATTCAGTCCTGAACGATCAAATTCCAGTGATGTCGAACTTGACACCAAGCTGTCATGCTACTTTGTGCTCTTGTAGATAACATTAGACGTCTGCCCAATTTTAGACAAATTGGGACCATTCTGTTTGACAAAAAACAAGTGGAAGCCAGTCTGTTTTCAATAAGCCACTTGATATGAACCGATGAAATCTTGTGATTCTGAAAAGGGCTGCATCCTCCCTTGGAGTTCAGCCAGGATGCTGATGGTCCTTAACATCATTAGTTTTATGTTTTCTGGCCGATTGGCTGATAGTTGATGGATGACAACCAACATCTAATGCAATAGCTCTAAATCACATGCCAGCATACCAATAACATCTTTGAGCAGCTGTCAGTTGAGACAGTCCCATATTTTCTCATCAACACCAAAATCAATTGATTTTCAAAGTTATCAAGCTGTAAGAATAGTTTACTGAAACCTGATATTGTGTAATGATGGGTGCAAATGATGTTCACCTTTTATTGTAGCTTGTGCACTAAAATCAATATATGGTGCACCCAAAGGATCAAAATAACCATACAAACATAATTATGATATAAATACAAATGGCTATATGGGGGTTAAAAATCATAGCTGTTGCAATACTCTTTCCATGTGCATATGTAATGCCATAATAACGAAAATGAAAGAGCATTGTCAAAACAACAAAATCTCAAATATATTTTTAACAATGGAACTATAATAGCTACCAAATTCATAACATTTTGAACAATAACTGCTGAGAATGGCCATCCAAATTTTCAGCTTTGAGAATGGTTAATAGTGTAATGGACAAATCAAGATACAAACTTACACTAAGGCAAATAATGGAACATATATACCATCTTTATCTCCAAATGTTTCAATCTGCATCATCTTTGACATTTTTTGTCTGAATTATGGTCATAAATAGCTCTTTCAGTATTGCCGTGTTTGTTCCTTCTTTGAGTGGTATTTAGAAGATGGCTTGATGAACAATGGGGATAGTTCTATATAAACACAATCACACACTTCTTCATAATAATATATGCAGCTTTTTGGTGAAGATGCTAACACTGTTGTCAAGCTAGCAAGTTAAAGGGCATGTTCTAGCCTATTTTGCTTGCATTTTAAAAAAAAGAAATTATTTACCTAGTTGTTTCACAAGTAACAAACACATTTTCTTGTAAGTCTTCAATTGGTATTTTTCACATTTTTTCCATTATTTCGACAGGTTTGACTTGTGTTCAACACTATTCTGGCTGCTATACACTGCGTCAAGTGACATTTGTCAGAGATTTAAAGAATGAGAAGCTGCATACCATAAGAAAGGATATACAGCCAAACTGACATATGTTTTTGTTCTTGATTAATGGTGTAACGGTCGACGGGGTGGCTGGAGAGGTATGTACTACAACATTGTGGGTATGTGGATCTCTCTCTTCCAGCCACAGCAACACAACAGTTTTAACTAGAAAATAATTTCACAAGTCATAAAAGTTACCAACGATAAAATTTATTATATACAATAGCCAAATTCTAACAGTAAAGACAATATGCAATCACGCTGCCCAAAGCGTTACTCTACAAGTAATAAAGTACAGTACAATTATATATAGTTACAACAGTGGAAAGATTTTACATGCGCTTCATTGAGTAGAGTGCCTCTGGCAAGCCAGGTGTAAACTTACAGGTTATTCATTGTTTTCTTCCAATCGACGGAGATGCCACCATCCAACACTCAATGATTCGTCTGTCTCCTTCAACCGTTAATCGAAGAATCCCTTATCTCTGTTATTTGTATTGTGACATAAATCCTAGATATGAAACCTTCTAAACACCTCGTAATGACGTCACAACATGGCGGCGTCCATGTCGAGACGTAGCTTACCTGAGGCAGCACAAATCAACACCAAAGTCGCTAAATAAATTACGCCACTTCAGGTAGACTGATGGAACGAGGTGAAGAGAAGGCTTGGATCTGTTTTACATACTAATTCCAACAGTATGAGCTCTCGTAATCCTAAGATCACGGTAAACTATATGTTGCAGTGCACTGGCACGGGACAACACTATATGGACAGTGTAACTGATACCGAGGGAATTAGTATACAGCCAAAATATGTCGTAAATAGTAAACATTTATATAAGGTAATTATTATCGATTACCCTGTACATTACAATGGCTATAAGGCTTAAGGCATGAAGCTAGTGATGAATATCAGTATTATGTACACAAGAAAGTATCCCTTCAGAGACTTCAGGTAAAGGGATAGGTAAAACATAAAACAGACTTGTTTGATAAAATGTGAAATATGAGATAACTTATCATTAGACATGATGATTTAAGATTCAAATTTTCTGTTATTGAGCATTGTTTTATATGCAGATATAATGATGAATGTGCGAATGTAAACTTTTCCATGAACTAACAATCATCCATACACACATTTTCCACATCTACCTGTGATATGATTAAAAACAATACCCAGTTATATAACTTCAAAGCATTTTGGTGCTATGATTGGATGGGATGTCATTACCTGTGTTCATCTTTCAACTGATCATGTAAGTTTGTTACAGGTGTTTCACATCATTGTCATGTCTCAATGGTCAGCTGAGATAGCACATGTGACATCTATGACATCAACAGTACTATAAACAAAATTCATTCAGTTTGACAACAATGAGTAATCAGTCAACCAATTATTCAAAAATCCTTTGAACAAAGTAAGCCTATATATATAAACACTTTTCACAAATCCACTTTGATAACAGTGATTGATCCATTTATGTATTATCTGGTTTATCCTTTGATGGAAGTTTTTTTTCAACTCAACTGACCATTCCTCTCTTTCAAGTGACAAAGTCACAAATCCCTTTTCATAATCCCAAGAACATGTGATAAAGGCCATTGTATAGAGTCCATTGAATGATTCTAATTGTATCATGAAAATGTTTATGAATCACTGTTATATACTGATACCAGTAGTAAGACGATGGGGCTACAGGACCAATTCCCCTGATGGTGTCCTATCAATCCAATTCAGCTCCCAGTGGCCCCTAAAAATGATGATTGATGAGCGGGGACATCGTTTGATGTGGCAGGGTGGAAGCCTTGAATATATTTACTTATTTCTAATTTTTTAAATAGCCGTAATAGTCGGCAAACTCACGATGGACAGGGTGTCACATAAACGATCAAAGTCGGCTAAGGAGTAGGTTCTGTATGGGCAGGGAGTTCGTTTGTCTCGAGGCTATACTTGACTAAAGCATCCATGAGGTGTACCCACATGACCTAGACTATTTTACAAGGTAGTGAATTGTCCTCAACTAAGCACTGGGCGTAGCGCTAAATAAATATCCATCCCTTCGACGAAGAGGTTGAACAAATGTTTCTCGATCAGTCTCCACATGATATACATATTTTAGGGTTCAAAAATCTTAGGGTGGTAATACAGTGTCATGGGGTATGATGAGTAATTCCTCTCGCACGACTCCCCTGTCTGATCCATCCTTGAGGTAATACAAATAGGGTTCGTCTTCTTTGATATCCACCCAGTCGATGTGGTATGTGTTGATGGACCACACAGACTCAGTGGTGTGTCACTGATGATCTCCTGATAAATACCTCACGCTGACCCCCGACACGACAGTTTCTGTTCTTTGCCACCGCGACGTGGCATGGATGATTCAGGGGTCACGGATTTCATTTTAATGGCATCAGTGGGTTTCCTATTGATTAATCGCGTCACTTTGTTGTTGATTGCTGCCACCACTTTGGGTAAACAGGTCACCCATTCTGTCAATCGGGCATGACCATCTCTTGTCTGTACTTAAACCCGAATAAGCGTTCAGCTAATGTTCGGTTAAATCTCATGACAATAGCTTGGCTACGATGCACTCCCGCTAAGCTGCATCTGACCTTGACCTTGTGCTTCGCTAGCAGCTGTGACACAGATCCCATAAACTTGAGTCCCGGATCAACTTGTAATTCTGTAGGCCACGTTAAAAGGCTGCGTTTATAGATACACTCCAGTGCATGGGCCACTGAGTTGAAAATCTCTTGTGGATAATGGCGCGGCTTCTTTGCATCGACTAGCGACATCCACGACGGTCAGGGCATATTTAAACGTTTTGCGTCTGACTGTGTTGTGTGGGAGAAACAAGAGGTCGGCCTGATGGACTTGATAGGGTATTGAAATATCAAACCTTCTCCTTGGTATATATCGGGGGTGCTGGCAAGTAGATTTGCCACAGGGCTTGTTTTTTCAACCAATCTTTAGCAATATTTTTGGAGACCTTCATGGCTTCAGCAAGCTTGTGGATGGCGCCCGTGCCTTTCCAATATCCCCGTGAGCTGTAATAAATCTTACCCATTAAGTCGTGATGCTATTATTAGCAATCCATCTTTTCGTATCCATGGGCGTATCCTATGCTTGTCACTTTTCAACTCATTTTTTCACATCTTTAGCCTTTCTTATCTCACCGTTGTTGGCTTTTAAAATCAAATATATTTTAGGCCTTAAGCAGACGTATTCCTCAATAGGAGTCCCTGCACATTCGTCTTTTATTTTTCCGAGTACACATCCTAGGTTTGAATTTCTAATAACAACGAATCGGTGTCGGTGTACAGTACCTTGCCGTAATGCTTCTTAGTTTATTATAATAAAAGTTGTACATCAAGTGTTTGGATAAGTCGAGAATACTCCTACACACGTAGACCAGTCTGTTCAATTTTATGTTACTCTTGTTCATGTGCAATGCCACCAAATCATTATTGAATATCCTACTTCTGTTAAAGGCCCGGGCTCACTATCCGTCTCCTAAGTTTTTCATTGTTTTGCCGAATATGGAGTTTATAGACCTTTTCTTCAAAATAACTGGTTGCTTTTTTCCTCAGATCAGTATTCAATCTAATGTAAGACTCCATCCAAGGACTTTGATCGAACTTAAGAACTCTATGTATTTTCTTTAGTTCCATACCCAAAGACAAGTACAACTGCAGGTTTCTATAGTGAACGATGTATTTATGTTTATCATTCAAGTTGGGTACGAATTTTTTCACTTTGGCTACAGTCCGTTTGAGTCAGAAACGGACCGATGAATTGCAAATTTTATCATTGTACAAAATTGCCACATTAATATAAATAGTACACATGTTTATCATTTACTAATACCCAACAGATTTCTTATATTTGAAAATTTTCCGGACTCCACCCAAAAAGTTCTTTAAGAAACTATCATCATTGAAAACGCAAAAGTTGTTATCTGTCGCGGCGGGGTGAAACCGCAGAAACAGAACAGACAGTCATGGCGGGGGGACATCTCAAAATCTATTCCGGGAGACCTGTTGGTTCCTCATCTGTCGTAGTGTCATAGTCACGACTTAAAGGGATGACAAGTGGTGCCACAGTTGCCTGTTGTAAGCCATCCCGAGACCAGTAACCTTGTTCAATGATGTTAGCTACCTTGTTGACACAGTTTTGCCAAGTTTCAGTCGTGATTTTGTTAAGGGATTCCTTAACCAAAACCTCTATGTCACGTAATCTAAAAGTTGTGTTTGATCTGGCAACATCTCCTTTGACAATACCCCATATCATTTCAATGGGGTTAAGGTCACAGTGATAGGGTGGAAGTCGCAGAATATCGTGACCCTTACTTTTTATGTAACTGTCAACTTTGTAGAAAGGTTCACCTTTGTGGGTTTTTATGATCTCATATAGCTGAGGCTTCGTTGCCTTTGAAGGCCGTGCGATCTGCAATTTGTCGAGCCATGATATCATATCACCTTTTCAACTGTTCGATGTCGGGGCTTTCCTGCACACTGTGGTATGGGGCATTGTCCATTACGATAAAAGACTTCTCTGGTAGAGCTGGTACCAATTTGTTTATAACCCAAACGAGGAAAACCCCATCATTCATCTCGGAATGTTAGCCTCTGTTATCTGTGGACTTTGCCCTGAATACCAAGTCGCAGCCTGGGAGAAAGCCTTTGCTGGAGCAACCAGCAATGATTAGTCTCTCTCCTTTCCCTAGAGGCAGCTTTCTACGTGACCCCTTATGACTCCCATCGGGTACCCACTGACTGCTGGCAGTGTGCGAGGCATTGACCCAGGTCTCGTCCAAGTACACTGGCTCGAACCCTTCCTCGCGCTTCTTCTCTATAACCCTGAGAAAATTATTTCTCAAGCGAACGATATCAGGGCATTCACAGAGTACTGACCTATTCTCCCCCGAAATGTTCTTATAACGATACCCGAAAGAGTGTAAGAGTCGCCAGAGTGTGTACTTTGATACTCTGAGGTTGTGTTCTTGCTTCAAATGCTTTTAAAAAATTTTCAGCGACATGTATTTGTTTTCAGAATAGAGCTTGTTGATAGACTGCCTTACAAGGTTCTTTTGAAAGTTGTCCAAATGTTTTAATTTGTGTGATTTTGACATGACCCCTACCTGCTTCGCATCACCCTCACAATGTTTGTGTTCCAGAACATTTCTCAGTACCCTTGCTGATACTCCTAAAGCTTTTGCTGCCCGCTTATGGAATTTATTAATGGCATAAAATGGTTTGCCCCTTTCGTCTTCAGCACGGAAAAAATCGTACACTTTAATCATCAACTGTTTCACTCTGTTTTTTTCTTGGAATATGCAGATCTCCAAAGCTTTTGCCAACTATATTCTTCATAGCAGAATTTCCAATTGCAAGTGCAGAATCGCAAGTAACGTCTTCTTTCCCTACAATTCAACTACCGGTACTCAAAGAGACCAGTTCCTGTCCTTGTTCAAATGGAGAATGAGTTGATAGCCATTCAATCAGCTTGTTAACGTCACTGGTGTACCTCTCAATTCTAGACGTCCTTAGTTCGACATGCTGGTCAGCACTACAAAATCTGGTCCCACAGAATTCCTCGAAGTACTGAATCATTTCAGTACAACCAGGCATTGCCAAGATCCACTGCGCCAACACACTGTCTGTCAGTCCTCGTCCATGAGTGAGACCACCGGATGTCTTCATCG